AAGCGCAAAATATGCGACTGATACATGAACTAGCTCCGTTTTGACATCTACAAGGGCACATCTCATAGTACTCTTAACACACACACACACACACACACAAAAAAATCAAGGCCAAATGTATTCTGATTTTAGTTCCAATTTACTAGTTACCTTGAATGCTATTAAGCTTTGCCAATTGACTTGATTTAGAATTATGAATCCGAGTTTGCAATGAGTTCAAAACGAATGGGTAATTAAAAAAGATCTCATAAAATATTGATTAATAACAATTTGAACAAGTTATTCTACAACATAAATGTTTAATCAATAATACTTAGATCAAATAAGAAAAAAAAAGGTAGAGGTACTACCCAAGTTACCAAGTTAATCCAAAATAAAAGCAAAATGTGAATTGTGCAGAGCATAGTTAAAAATCATAAGGTGATAACTCTTGATCAAAACAAAAAGTCAAAGTTGAAACAAATTTAAATTATAGAAGGGAACTAGGGTATAGTAATAATCATATATGCATTGACGCGGGGTTTGCTAAGGCTGAACCGGTCCAGGGTTCAACGAGGGGGGATGTGACACACAGACCCTAGTCGGATTAGTAGTTAACTTCCAGAAGGTTGGACCGAGATGGATGTATGCTCGCAAGTGGAGAATCCTCCTCCAATGTTTTGGGAAATAGTGGGATCAAAGTGCTGCTAGGACGGCAGACGAAGAAATAAACGCTTTGACAGATGAAGTCGAAGCTCCCCCAACCCCAGGAGACTGATGCGGGGCTGTCAAGATTGAACTGGTCCAAGTTTGAGGCAGGGGAGCTGTTGGTTCAGCATTCAGGTTGAACCGTCCAACCTTAATTAGGGTTGAAGTGTGGTCGCCCCTTACTCCCCCCCCCCACACACACACAAATACTTATCTATTATGTTTATATTTGTGGGTGTGTTATTCTCTGTTTAGGGTTCGTTGAAATTTTTGTTTGGATAGCTATTAGCGTCCTATTTTCCCACTTCTACGGTTGTATCCAACGGCGAAAAGGTGCTCTAATTATATATCGTCTAAGGTGGTGACAATCTTTCCTGCATCTCGCACTTACGGTCCATCTCTTGCTTGCTGCCATCCTCTCCCTGCACCCTACATCGTTGTTGTCTCTCCTGCACCACTTATTACCCCTGTTGCCCACGTCCTCTCGTTGTCGTGATTCCTACCAATCCATTTCCATCCTACCGCCACACCTGTGACCCTCCCCCCACAATCACACTGCCGATGTCCCCCTTCCTGCTACAGGTCACCATTACCTGCTCCCAACAGACACTCCTTGTCTTTGCTGCCCTTTCCACGCCCTTCACCAGATGCTACCCAAAACAATCACCTATACTTCCCCTCCCTTCCTATCCTTCACAGCCACCTTTCCTCTTACCTCATCCTACAACCCATTCCTGCCACAACCACCAATCAGCCAACACCCACTCAGCCCACCTCCCCCATCTCCAAGCCCTCCAACCCCCTGTCCACCGGTCCTCCCATCTCGCCCTAGCCGGAGAGTCGTGTTGTGATGTATTTCTTTACCTGTTTTTGAGTCGTTGTAACCCCGTTATTTTTTAGTAATAAAATTTGTTTTCCTTTTGGACAGGTTAACTCTGGTATCCATTGAAAAGTATGCTAATAAATAGCATATAAATCACCAACCTTTTACGAGCTTTGAATAACTAAGAACTACTATAAAGTACACGTATGCTTATAAATGCCTCACATACCTGCCTTCAAATGCACTGATAACCAGACCAACATCTAAGAAAATAAGAGGAATGTGCTAATGAACCTTGAACTTGGAAAAAGTCTCAAATCTATGCCAACTGTTCTAAGAGATTACTGACAAATCTAAATATCCACAAAGCCACTTTATTATGAAAAAATTTCCAATAACATTATTACAATGTCCTGGTGAGTTATTAAATCCTAATTTAAACAAGTGTTACATTAAAAATTAAAATAAAAAAATATATAATTGATCGAGCTACATTGCATGTAGGACAAGGCTGTAAGACTGATCCATATAGGCCATTTTAAAATTAGAATATAGAGACCTACAATGGGCCACATCACCGATATGATAGGTCAAAAGACCCATCACTATGCTTTTATCTTCCTCGAGGTTTGAAGTCCCGCTTATAAGCTTTTTAATGAATGCAGCCCCTATCCAAACTAGTTTAGGTTGGAGCAAAATCAATGCTTCCCTTCCAAAAGATATAAGCCCTAGCTAAGGAAAAATTCTGAACAAATTCTACGCAAAAAAGCTTGTCAATCAAAATCAAGTCCAGCAGTTAAAATCATATAAACCAAAAAATAAAAAAATAAAAACTAACATGTATTGGACAAGATTCTCTGAGTTGAGATGAAACTCATTAATAAATGGTGTTAATGTCAACCTGTAGTTATGCATCAAAAGCTGCCATACTTGTATGCATCTATTATTTAGCAAAACTGATGCAAAGAACCTTTTCCAGTAAATAGGTAGATACTAATCTTGAAAGGAGGTCTTTGACGCACCCATGTCTATAACAAAACCTACTCAGAATAATTGAGATGAGGCAACTCATAGTTGCTAGCTAGACTTCTTGGACATTACAGCACAAAGCCCTCCTTCAACACCATTCAACAAAACTACTATAGCTGTCAAAAAAAACAAATCAACGCTAATACTGAATTTGAAAGCAGATCTTTGATGCACCTAGATTTTCAATCCAATTTAAACAAGATTCCTTCCATGAGGCAACCTAAGGTAGCTGAATAGGACACAGATGTTACGGCTGAAAGCCAATAATCTTGGCATACTTATGGTTATTAATTATGGGAGATTGCCATCATATGAAGTTTCGAACCTTGATTAAATAGCAATGGTGTGCGTATTAGGTAAACATTTTGTTAAAACAAGTATAATCTACCTTATAGAAAGCTTCACCTGAGTTTTCCCATTTATGCATTAACAAGGCTCACTAAACAGGATTAACTTTTCTTGACAAATAAATTATTTAATGTAGATGCATCAATAATGTACATTTTAATCGATTGGCCTATAAAGCTTTACTTTATATTCACTTAATTTGACTTACTAAAATAACTCTTTTTGTAAGATGTATAATTAAGTCTAAATAACATACAAAATGCCGTTCTATTGATTAAAACATGTTATGTTGAATGTTTTAAAGGCCCAAAAACCCTTAACTTTGCTTTAACACTGCAATTTGAAAAAAATAAATATAGCACAATGACCCAAAGCTTTTTTAAAAATTTGTGTGCAAAGCAAACAATTATATATTTAGAGTTCCTGCATATACTAAATGAGATTAAAGAATAAATTGACATAAAATTATTATATTTTTTTGAATCAATATATTAAAGATGAGAATACTTGATGTTTATGTCTTCAGATCCAGGGGTTTGTAGTGCAAAATATCAGGCAACAGGGACGAAAAAATTTATAGGTCACAAACTCTTAGGCTTTCAAAATCTATTTTTTACTTTGATGAAAATATGAAAATATTTAAAAATTCAATATCCTTCTACAAGAAATTAAAAAAAAAGAACGAAGAAATTCATACAAAAAGTTGAAATCCATGCTCTTGTTGAAAACCAAATTCTATTTAATTTGGTAAAATCACTCGATCAAATCATTAGCAAAAATTAGAACAAAAGAAAATTAGAAGAAAAACTCACCAATATAAAAAAAAATCAAGCCTCATGCTTGTACAACAGATAAATTCTCCAAAAATCTTTAAATCGTTTGCTTAATTAAGGAGATGACCCTCTAAATTAGAAATAATAGCACATCCAACTATAATTAGATTCACAATAATTTTTTTTAAATTTTGTATATGCTTAAGAAATATGAACTCAAAAAATCTCCCTGGAATTTCATATCCATCAATTAAAAAAACTCAAAAAGAAGACCAATAGATATGACTTTCACAAAAACATCACACCACATTTAGATAAGGCTGTTAAATTTTGATTAGCATGATGAAAAATCAAATCATGATTTGCCTTCATACTAAAATAGCTCATGCACAGTATTCACAGTTATTAAGAGAGCCAGCTAATACCATAAGGACATCCACATTTACACTAGGAATGGCCCCACTAAAAAAATAGGAATACAAGGACAAATTATGGATGGTGAACTTGATATAAAAAAATTCCATCAAAGGGAAGAAGAGAGGGAACTTTTTCCAATAAAGCAAAATCTGAGCAGCTTAATTATATATTGGTTAAATAGACTCAAGATCAGCTTAAAATCCTAAATGCAATAACATACCAGATGTACATAGATAATTTATTAGATAACTAAAAGGAAGAAATCAACCTCCCATTTGAACAAATAATTGCTAGCACAATTAGAAATCAACCTCCCATTTGAACAAATAATTGCTAGCTGAATTAATTTCCAATTTCAACCAGCCAGTTCTTAATTTTTATTGCTTAAACGTTATCTGAACATCATTCTATTATGCCAACTCTACTTTTTTTTACCTAATTCTGAACTTTTTCTCTTGTTTCTTTTATTTACAAAGTATTATTTCCTACAAGTTCCTAGTTTGATGACTTCCAACAAAGTAAAATTACTTGTCTTTTTAACAATAGGGAAGAGAGCATAATAAATTTACATTAATTGAGAACATCATAAAAAGACAAAATCTGCCAACTTGAAGAGCAAGGGTTAACCATTCATATTTTAATGTCAGGTTAAGATGTCATAGTGTTAGACAGATATGGACTCTATGGACCTATTAATGCCAAAATTCCTCGACTTTTGACAAATTGTTTGCAATTCTATGATTGTGTGCTCAGAGAATATCATTTGCTAGTATGATGAATTGATAAAACATTAAAAAGTAAATCAACATGTAGAAGCTATCCAACTAATTTCAACAATTTATGCAATTAGAATGCCTACAAAAAAGATTAATAACATCAAACTGTCAAAAATTAATAGAAATAGCAAAAGGATGGAATCTAACCATGTAAATGATCCTCAAGTGACCCCAAGGGCATATATTCATAGACAAGAAGGCGTTGATCCCCATCAGCACAATAACCAATTAAATTGACAAGATTGGGGTGATGTAGGAGGCTGAGCATAAGGACCTCAACCAAAAATTCTCTATTTCCTTGAAGTCCATTCCAATCTAGCTGTTTCACAGCAACAACCTGCATAAAACAACATTCATTCTCAGATCTAGAATATATACTTTCAGGTGTAATTCTCTACAAACATAAGTGACCTTATGTAATTATTCATTAAAAAATTTAGTTTCAGATGTAAGTCCTAACAAAAGATAGAAAGTTATGAAATTTATTCATTAAAAAATTTAGTTTCAGATGTAAGTCCTTCTAACAAAAGATAGAAAGTTATGAAATGAAATTGTAATGTATAAGTGATACATATAAATACATCATCCACAAACAAATGCAAATTAATGTGATGTAAGGTACTAATTAAATGGAAATTTCTTCAAACCTGGCCGCTCTCCAACCGGCCTTTATACACACGGCCAAAGCCACCTTCACCCAATAAGCATTCAGCTCTGAAGTTCTTAGTAGCAGTAGCAAGTTCGCGAAAGCTAAAAGTCTGCGCTGCAATATGTCTGGTATTTCCTTCTTTATGAACCGATGTTTCCTTTTTTGACTCTGAAAAACTTCTTGACTTTGATTTATCTTCTCAAGCAATACATAGTAAATAAATAAAAAATCAATAGACATGAAAAACAAAAAAAAAAGATGAATCTTTGAAATATGCAAGCAATAGTGCATAACATACGAATGGATTAGATTCGGTGGCATGGGACAAGCAGATAGAAAATATTCCAAAAACTGCATGCCATGTTAGCTGAGAACTTATAAGAAAAAAAACAAAGTTCAGATTATTTCAAAGATGAGTGACAAACGTGAACTATATAGCACTGGACCAAGTCATCAAAGAAAAAAATTGTAACGATATTTCATTAATCTCTTGATTGTGCAGGAAATTTCACTTGATATAGCCACGCTGATGCAAATTTGTATCAGGACATCCTTAAACAATTTCATTACATTCATCAACCATAAATCTACACGTATGATACTTCATCCTCAACTTTCTGAAAAATCAAACATATCCATGATGAAAAAAGAAGAAATCCGACTCTCCATCTAGATCAATGCACGACTGTATAAAACAACAAAATAATACCACAAGAATCGCTCACACAAAGAATCATACGATAACCATACTTCTACTGACAGCTTCGCAGCTCTAATTCTTTCCCATAATCAATATTTATAGAATCCAAAGCCCCCATACAGAAACTCGTACAAAATCGTTCATTCCAGTTCTCTTGAATACTGAATCACAAAACAACAGATCAGACCAAATAGAAGCAGAAACAAACATTCCAGATCGAGCAGAAAAACGCTAACCGAGCTCAAACCCACTCGGTCTTTCAAAAAAACATCCACCAACATTCAATTCTTAACAAAAACCAGAGGAGAAAAATGATCACCAGAGCTAACCCTCGTCATTTGGTTCGAAGAGGGCGCCGCGGGAGCCTCCTTACTGAAATCTCTACCACCAGGTTTCACCTCTCTGTTCTTCTCCTCCACCTTCTCCAACGATCCGAAACATGGCAAGCAAGCCATCTCAGATCGCTAGGAGAGCAGCACAAAATGGCGATCTTCCTCCAGGCCGAGCTCTTCTAACACCTCCAGTCCATCACTCTCAGCCTCGATCGCATCTATACTGATCGCAACTGCCACACAGCGCCCATTGCAGAAAAAGGGAAGGTGAATCAAAAACAAATTTTGCTCTATACGGAAAGGATTAAGAGGAGTGCAGCGCTACCGCAATGGATGGTGGGATGAAGTAGGAAGAGAGAGGGAGGGAGGGCTGAATGATGGAAGAAAAATCGAAAAAGTCAGCATCTTGTGAGAAAGAGAGCCGCAAAATAGGATTATTAGTAATGACGGTATCACCTTTATAATACTGTTAATAAAGATTTATTAAATATATTCCTGAACTGTCGACCAGCATTGGCGTTTTACGGATTTGAGGTGTTTTAGGGGTCTAATTATTGCCCAAGTGCCCTCCTCGATCACAGCCGCGTATTGCGATTGTATGACAGTGGGTCCATTATCTAGGTTCACTGTATACCCAAGTGCCCTCCTCGATCACAGCCGCGTATTGCGGTTGTATGATAGTGGGTTCATTATTTAGGTCCACTGTATAACCCACTGTCATACCCACTGTCATACAGTCGCGATGTGCGGCTGTGATCGAAGAATGCACACAGCTCTACGTGCGCTCTCCGCACATAATAATCGCTCGTTTTAGGGAGTGCAGATTTATATTTCAGGCTTGGTTTTATCAATTTTTTTTAATTATTTTCCTACATTTTAAAAGCTATATAAAATAGACAAAAATTAAAAAAAACAAAATATTATCATAAAATCTTTCTATTTGTGTTAGAATTAGGGCTTTCAAAACGGCTCATTGTTGGCGAATAGCTCGTGTTCGACTTGCTAAGAAGCTCGTGTTTTGACTCGAAATACTATTAATCAATTATATATATGTGTGTGTTTAATGAGTAGTATTTTTAAAAAACTTAATTGACTAAAAGGTTATAAAGATTTATAATCAATTGTAATTATTAATTAAGAAAATAGAATAAAAAATTATTAAATTAGAGTCAAATAATCTTTTAATATAAATAATAATTTTTAAATCTTGTCTCAATTATTAACATCTTATAGCTACGCGATTAGGGTTGTCAAAACGACTCTTTGCTTGTGAACGGCTCGTGTTCGACTCGCTAAGCAAACATTTGGCTCGCTAAGCAAACGAGTCGAACACAAACACATTTTTTGAGCTCGAAATATAAACAGGCCGAATGTTACGGAAATAAAATTAAAAGGATCCCAAAAACTGGATTTCAGCATTAATTAAAAAAAACAAAATATTATCATAAAATCTTTCAATTTGTGTTAGAATTAGGGCTTTCAAAACGACTCATTGTTGGCGAATAGCTCGTGTTCGACTTGATAAGAAATGCTAAGAAGCTCGTGTTTTGACTCGAAATACTATTAATCAATTATATATATGTGTGTGTTTAATGAGCAGTATTTTTAAAAAACTTAATTGACTAAAAGGCTATAAAGATTTATAATCAATTGTAATTATTAATTAAGAAAATAGAATAAAAAATTATTAAATTAGAGTCAAATAATCTTTTAAATATTGTCCCAATTCTTAACATCTTATGGCTACGTGATTAGAGTTGTCAAAACGACTTTTTGTTCGTGAAGGTCTCTTGTTCGGCTCGCTAAACAA